TTCCCCTTCCCTCCCCCCACTGTAAGGAAGCCTGTTCTCTTAAAATGGCTGTATTCTTCCGTCAGGTGTTACCTTTCCAAAAATATCTGTGTATCAACTCTTACACCCTAACACCAGTATGCATATTCTCCTTACTGTTCTTCATAAATTTTCTAAGATGCTCTCAAGGAGAATTTGTTTAACAATCAAAAACTTCTTCATTTGGTGTTTTTTTCCTTTTATTCTCGTGACCGTAAGTTTTAGTGTGATTCAGACAGGGTGATTGTGTAAGGGGAAATTAGATGTTAGTCACTCTTAGGGGGTCAAGGTGTTAATAATACTGTTAAAATATCATGGCCTATCCCTCCCTGGGCCGGGTTGTTCAAAGTTTGGTTAAGTTAACCCAGGATTAGTGTGAAATCTGAGGGCTTGTACAAAAAATTTAGCATACTTCGTTTTGTGTCGAATTTGATTATTTGATGCTCTAAATAAAGGAATAGAGAAAATTATCTCGAAAAGGCTTTTCTACAAAGGAATAAAGAAACCCGGATTAAGATCCCATCTTGGGTTAGCGCTAACCGACCTTCAGAAGTCTTTTTAACGTTTGTAAAAAGAGAAAAGACGTTCTTTTTTATTTTAATTTTTTTTCTATTTTTCCTTTGTAGCCGTTTGTAGATCTACAGTTTGTTTTCCTCGAGAAAAATGATTCAGGGGCTGTGTCTGAGGAAAAGCCAAAGATTCTGGAAGTAAAAAGAAAGAAAATTAAAAAACGGAAGGGAAACAAAGCTCTCCTGAAGAAATGCTTGGACTCCAACTCGCCTGGCCAATTCAAAAAGAAATTCGGAAAGAAGAAAAAATCTTCTTCATATCAACCATGTGAGGTTGGAGGAAAAGTCAACATGGAGCCCAGTGAACCTCAGTCATTTGAAAACGAAAAGAAAGAGAACCTGGGACCCTCTTCCAATCTGCTGTGCTCAAATGTTAATAAAGGAGGATTGGAGTCTCCTCAAGGACTTGCTTGTGATGACGTTGAAAATCTTCGTGATCCTAATGTTAAGGAGTCTAGCCTTTGTTTTCAACCTCAAGCTAACGGAAGTAGCGTTAGCGAAAGTAAGCTGATTGTTTACTCTCAAGGAAGCGCGAACTTTAATCAGAACGAAACATCTGCTGCAGACCAAAGTACTGTTAATAGACTTGAACATGATGTAACGGACACGTCGGTAAGTTCCGATATGAAAATCGCTGATAGTTCGTCGATTTTATCACCAAACTCTCAGTCACGTGGAGAGCTTTTCCTGCCAACGACGAACACGGGTTCTGTGGATGAGCCTTCAGTCACTTTGGATGCGAATGATTTGGCGTTTGCGCAATTGGATGGAAACTTGAAAGGAAAAGAAGTGGAATCCTCTGTATTGAACCAAACTAATGACGATTTCATGAATCACCGTTCTACTGAGTTGGAGTCTCCTAACATGCTTCGTGGGCTTGGGTTAATGTTGGAAACCCTGTAGCATAAACTCGTGAAATTCCTTTTCATAAAGGAAGAAGAGTGGTTGTGTGGTACGACGTGGCAAGTGTGAAGTTGAATAAAACTGGATATTTCTCCTGAGATCATTACTGTGAAGTCAATACTTCTTGCAAAACGGGGCACTATTTCCAGCATTTCCTGCGATTTTTTGTTTTCACGTTCTGATTTTTGTTTTTCAAGAAATACCTATACGAGGATCGCCTCTTCGAATTTTATTCCTTTGGATCCAGTTGTTTCAGGGGTGGAAGAAGTCTCCTTTGCAGCCGTTGTTTAGTATCGTCATGCAACGCGCATTTTTCCCGTTGAAGGGACGAGAGAGCGCGTTGCGTGACGAGAGCACGTTGTGTGACGAGATCAAACAACGGCTGCGAAGGAGACAAGCACGAGGCTCTGCACTAGATAACTGGGTAGCACTGGTTAGCCTTTCCCAGCCTTAGAATGACTTTTCTCTGAAAGACTAGTACCTCAAAATGTTAGTTTGCTTGCAGTCACATTTCGAATTCGGTCTCATTTTCGAATGCGAACACCGTGCAGAAGACCATTGTTAAGTAAACCCTCTTGTAACAGTCCTCTTGCCAACTTAAATTATCCAAAGTGGGTTATACGCGTTTGCTTACAGTTCTCATGTTTTCTGGTTATAAATAGACTTCGAACGCAATTCATTGTATTCGGTGGATACAGGAAAAATTTCATCGCGGAAAGAAGTACACTAAAAGAGAGAATTCTAACCATCACTATGCCACCTAACAATCTAGACAGTGACTCACAATGGAATCATGAATTTCCCATCATGACAATTTCCTCGACCTTGTACGGGCGACTTTGTAGGTATCTTCGATTTAAAATTTATTGCAAGCCTACACTAGTGGTACATACTTAAAACATGTTCTAATACCTAATTATTATGGAGATTGCACAATTTCGTAGGTGCTAGAAAGTGCCCTCTAAAACGTTTACTGTAATTCTGGTTGAATTACTAATCTCGGTCACTTTTTAAGAGAACAGACGCAGATCCTATGAACATGCAGGCACGAATGTACGCGCGCAATACACATGTCCAACAAAAGAACATATCCTCTCATTTGAAGATTTCTGGCCGATAATCGTAGCTGTAGAACCTACACTTCTTTTGAGAAGAAGTATCTTCTGTTGTATCTTTCAAGTTTGACTATAAATTCATAGAAAAAAAAGGGGCCTAACAAATGATTACATTATGCATTAAAAAAAAAAAATAACGGTAGAAGAGCTTGCAGGAACTTGTACATCGTCTTCAACAATACATGGATACTTGGATGAACTGAAAAGGAGGAACAGTATTTCAATCGAAATATGCCCTTACATAAACAAAAAAGCCCGTGCTCGGGCCACATGTTCCATCCCCAGGGCTTATCCCGATTTCTATAACATGAAGCGACTAAGAGTAGT